CATCTTAACTGCATGTGATTATAATAGATAAGTATTCACATCTTAACTGCATGTTTATGAGTTACATAAATATAGTAAAACGAAAAAAAAAAACAAGAATACAACTCACCTCAACAAAATGTGGTGCTACGACACTCCATGCCTGCATTATATGTAGCAAAGGTCTGTCTCCGTCACGCACACATTTTAACATCACATCAGCCAATCGAAATAAATGCAATGATGTAACATTGCTTAATTTGCCAGATGTTGACGTAGATTTACTGGGCAAAGTGGGATTACTTAAAGTCATATTTTGATTGAATCTATCACCCTCAAATAGCTGTGACTGTGAAGCTTTGCAGAGTTCACGTAGGAAGCTAACTAAAGCATTGAGATTAAGATTGGACGAAGATTCTTCATATAATCTATAATGAAAACAAAAGCAAAAATTTATTACCAGTAGATCAAAAGAGCAGTTGACTTGCATTTCAGTTCTTCTTTTCCAATATTACAACAATATTAGATAAATTTAAATAGAAAATATATTTAAAATGAGCTTGAAAATAGTGTAACAACTAATTTCATCCATTTCAGCCAACATGACAAATTACCCCTTGCAGCTGGTCCGGAAATCATTAAAATGATGTGCACCAAAACCCTGTCTAAACTGAATATCATATATTACATCCGGAAACATACCTAACCAAACCATGTGTAAACGGTAGTCTAAACTTAATTTTGTGTAAACCAGGAACACTATCTGTAGCACCCCTCTCCTCCATACGTCTGTTTATGTACAAAATCTGTATAAACAGAACATTTCAGTTTAGACAGATATCGCTATATACTTTACTTACCTATCCACATCAGAAGACAATCCATAGACAGCTTTAGCAGCATTACTAACACTGAGTACACCACCTCTTGTTACAGTCATATCAAATCCCATCTCTTCATTATTCTGCTCTATAATCTCATGTATATTAACAGTTTGTTGTATCGGTACTGGTTGTGTGTATGTACTAATCATACTTAGATCATCATCATCATATGCAGAGTGGCTGTCTGACTGCTGTTCCTGAACTTTAGTAATACTCAATCCAGGCTGGGTATTACCACTACTAAAATGACTATGTTCAAGTTGAGACACATATGCACAGCATCTGAAATGATCAAATAATTAAATCAGAAAATTAAAAAATAATAACAGCTGCTCCAGGTACATTATTCAAATTTTACTTGGAACTCATAAATTAGGATAAAGCGAAACCCTTTTCTTTATATGTCCAAACAGCCAAACTTTTTTCTGAATTTTAAATTAAACAGTTTCCTCATATCACTATATATGAACTTCATTGACAAAAGAAAATCCTTCAGTGTACACCGATTTCTTATCCTGTTTCATGTGATGAACTGATATAAATTCTGTCCAATGAGTGCACAATATGTCCTTTAAATTTTACATATCATATTTGCTCTATTAGAAGCACATCTCTTATTGGCTGTAATTATATGATTTTTTTTTTACCATAGAAACACCTCTGTAACTTGACAAAGTGCATATGCAAGTATGGTACATGGTTTTTATTTAATTGTACTCATACTTGTTTATAAGTCAAGATAAGGTTATGTATGCTTAAGCCTGCTCACCGAAATACATGTTTCCAACTCTCAGGAGAGTGACTACCAATCTCTAGACCCATATTTAATAATGCATCCATACTCAGTACATGGGAGGTATGTAACCTGACACCAGATTTACCAGTTGTTTGGGCAATACGGCTACGTAACGATTGCTTCTTTGGATCTGTAGTTTGTGTAATTGTAGGATCTGCATACACACATGAAGCATTGGCTAACTGAGTTAATACGACAGCACAACGATCCTGTACACCTGTTAAGATGACAACATTGTTAGTTTTAAAACCATGCATGTTACTGATAATCTAAATGTTGTAGGATCTGCATACACACATGAAGCATTGGCTAACTGAGTTAATACAACAGCACAACAATCCTGTACACCTGTTAAGATGACAACATTATTAGTTTTAAAACCATGCATGTTACTGCATGATAATCTAAATGTTGGTGAAAATGAGTATAATTTTTGTACAAATCAAGAATAGGAACAGATATTACAATAAACTGAACAAAATAACCCCCTGACAGATGATATGGATTGTTAGATGTTTGGAACATAAAATGAAACACTCACATACATGACATTATAAAGAACACACACAAATTTTTGACTGACAAGTTTGCAATGTCAGGTACTATATTAATCCAATCAAATTAGCAGATAACGTTGCTGTGCAGAGCACCAAATGTTCCATGGTTTAAACTAATATTGTACTGGGTACACAACAAAACACTAAATTGAAATTGACCTCAAAAGAATAAATGGATTACCAGAACCTACAAAAATGAACTAAATCACTATGACTCAAAAAAGTCTGCAGGTCTAATCCATCTACAAAAGTAGACAAAAATATACGTATTTAAACTATACACAGGTCATAAACTATTATAAACCATTTCATTTTTGCTGCCAGAAATTTTGGTAATTTGATGATTAAATCACATTTATGAAGACAAAATTTCACAAAATGTGCTGTGACTGTGCTTTTAGAACCCCAATGAATTTTTCATTGCTATAAAATTTCACCATTTTATTTGACTCAGGGAAAATCTATCTCTGACAAAAATTAAGTGGTTTAGAGTACATCATTGCACAACATAATATAAGTAATCTTACCAAGTGTACAACTTAACCTTGCTGCTTTTCTCAGTCCATCTAAGCTCATCATAATAGCCTCCCTATCTCGGCTGTTTTGTTCCTTGGCACCCTCAGTTCCAAGAAGAAATGCTATACTACCAACTCCTGTGATATTTTTGGTTGCCAAGGGAACAGATAATACATCGAGTACCTGATCCCAAATAGTTATCAATGTTCTCTTAGCAAATCTGATTCCTAATTGATGAAAAGAAATATTATTCAAAATGTTATTATACACATTTTAAAAATAGAAAAACAACCATCAGCATTAATGCAAAGATGAATATAATATGCATAACCTAACGTTTGCAACATCACATGACCTATATAAACCAATCAGAACTCACCAGCTTCAACCACTTGTTCATGGCCTTCTGTTTTTTTAATCAATGCAAGTTGATTGGATAACATTGCATCTTGTAACATCTGACCTCCAATATCTCGGTTTCCTAAACCATCAATATCTACAGAACACAATTAGATAATAATGAGATACAAAAGTATGTAAGAGGCACAAAAGTGGCATCTCCAATCTGTTATGCCTAATATTGATCACTTACCAGTAACAATGACACTAGACTACAATGTGACATATGCCTCTTTATTGTACCAGCTTCATCAGCTGATGTGTTTGCTAGACTCTTGTTTTATCTCATTTGATTAGAAAGGTAGATTGAAAAATTGATGAAAGTACTTACCAGAGAGCAACGTAATCAAAGCTTTATTATACTGTGCAGACTGAGGGGTATATCCAGCTTCTCCAAGAAAGTTTCTCTTTATAACCAGATTGTACAGCTCTGTTAACCATGTTGATGACAAATATACTAAGAAAACACTGTCATGAATCCGGTTTATAAATTCACTCTGTAAAAGAAAACAAAATAGGAAATATTGTTAATACACATTAGAAGCAAGAAAGAATTTCACTCCAAATCATGAAATTCACAGAGGCACTAAAGACAATTCCCCCAAATGCCTTAGTCCCGACAAGTAGCAATTAACGCCAAAATAGTTTGCCTATATTATTCATATAATAATTTTATCAAAAATGTCTTTGAAATAGATTACTTTCTTGAAAGTTCAATTTCTGTTATTCCATACGTCATTGACAGAATACAGCACTATGGTTCTCAATGTGGTATTTCTAATAACATAGAGAAAAGCTAATAATAAATTTAGTCATCACATGTCAATAACCTGCACATCTAGGATATTTAACAAATGTGCATTTAATTGGTATAGCAAAACTCACTTAGGCTCAGTATATACACTGACTGAAAAATACAAACAAATTGACAAAAATAGACGCAGTTCATGGACCCTCGAGCGTCATCTAAAATTACTAAAAGAATACAACTCTTCAGATTGTTGTGCCCACATACCTCACTAAGGGGAATAGTACTTGGCTGATCATAATGCCTCCTCTTCACAAGTTTTAAATTGAGTAATAATGCAGAATATGTAGCAACATAAACACCATCAGCGTTCAATATTGGCATCGTAGAATGTTTTGTTGGTGACTTAGAAGAATCTTCTTTATCTAAAGCATTCCTTCTTCTTTTGGCTTCTATAACTAAATACAGATGCACAATATTAACATCACTACATTTACTTAATCAACGTTTGTAGACTTTTCCAGACCCCCCCCCCCCCACCAAAAAAAAAACAAAACAATGCAATGTTTCCCATGATCAAGACCTGCATGCAATGAAATATCATGTCCATCTGGTCCACAATTCCCAAAGAATTTATTGAAAAATACATAAAAATTGTTGTACCAAGATTTGAAATGCATAACCAAGTGTTCTACACATTTACTACAAACATTGTTTCATTCTATTTACTACAAACATTGTTTCATTCTATTTACTACAAACATTGGTTTTGATGCATACAACAAGCAATCATTTGATGACAATGAATACCTCCTTCAAATTAATGGTAAATGTTTTTCATCGAATGAATAATTTCTTATGTGGACTATAAAACAAAGCTTTCATTCAATAGGCCATACCATAACTACCGGTAGTTTTGTGAAAGATTTATTTGGTAGCAATGAATAAAGTGGGGTTCTCATAAAGGAATGCCTTCAAATTATAGTATTCCTAAAAATGTTACTGTTTACTATATCCATATTTCTTATTTAATACAGTAGCAGTAGCATGCACCATGTATATGTGTATAAGATTATATAATCACCACACGCTATTTAGTTTACTGACTAAAACTCTTCATCTTACATTAACCTCACTAATCAACAATCATAGTGCATCTGATGGCCATTTCAAATTACCTTATAGAATCTGCAGACTGTTACAAAGAAGCTTATTATCTACTACATAGTACTGTCAAATACTTTATTTTCGATGAAAAGATTTTTTGGGTGTTCTGCATGGAATTTATTTTCACTGAATCTCAATGATTTAAATGTAAAATATAGGAAGAAATGTATATTCGCTTGATTTGATTTTCACCGAGTTATCCCTTCTGCGAAAATAGCGAAAATAAATTCCAAGAAAAAAATGAAGTATTTTACAGTAATCTGACTGGCAGTTACAAATAAATCCCACCCTCAAAAATTACACAATGTGAGCTACATTAATATCTTAAGAGACATTTAATATTTTCTTAAATGTCATGAGTCGTCATTTATTACTAGTATTCTAATATTGATACATATTATATTAATTCAGGTGCTATCGCTGATAGAGGCATGGAAGATGGAGGCATGGAAGACAGGTGTATGGATGGTATAGAAAGCAGACAGTTATGAGATATGACACCCATCATTTTACTTCACTCACAACAGTTTCTAGTTGACCAGCCATGGCAAGTAAATGATTCTCTTGACATGGTTTCAATTTGTACCACCAATGCTTTGACATACACCAATGAAAAATGAGATATTATGACATGCCGAAAACCTTCACATCATTATCTATTGACAAGATAAACTAAATTACTTACATGTGATAGCAATAACAAAATTAAAAAAAACAATAAAAAAAAACATGAGGTTACACTTAATAAGCATATAACATTGATTTCAGCTAGTTGGCATACTTGGTATATCATAATCACAGAGTTAGTACTCCTGCATGAGCTCAGTGTAGAATCAAATCATATTTACACTGTTTTAATATTTGGGATAATTCCTTTGTTTGAAATCTAAATAAAAATTGTTTAAACAGAGACACACTTCACTATGTGCAACATGATTCAGAAATATCGATGAAGATTACTAGTCACATTTATAGCCATAATTGAATTTTCATTCTCAACACCTGGGTTACGTTGAAAAACTAAAGGTTATATACTGAGTCCAAGGGCACTGGCTGTTTAGAATTGAAAGTGCCAAAGTTAGGAACCTTCTAAATAATGTTGCAATGTTCCAAGTTTTCACTTTTCACAATATTAGTGCGCCATCTAGTGGTGACTCCTTATAATATTAGTGCGCCATCTAGTGGTGGCTCCTTATAATATTAGTGCGCCATCTAGTGGTGGCTCCTTATAATATTAGTGCACAATCTAGTGGTGAATAGTTATTACATTATATCCTCGGGGGCGGAGCTACGTCACGGACGTTCTACGTTGCCAAGACGCGCACCACTGTACCACGTATTTCTATGGGCTTTGTGCACGCTGCTGTGGAACGACTGTGGAGCTGGTGAAAACTCGAGAAAACAACACAAACTCAACTTAAAAGTAATCCTGAACAACCAAATTCATATATGTTACACACGTAGGGCTAATCTTGTTACACTGTTCAGAGGACTCTCAACAACCATCGCAAAGTACCGTTTTCTGCGAGTTTTTGGTCTTTGTTTTCACCGCGAGGGTTGCCAGGCGGTAGAAAATGCCCGGATGTCCGCCCCCGAGGATAGTTATTATACAATAGTAGAGAGCCACCCAGTGGTGACTCATCAAAAGAGAAGTATTACATACCTGCACAGAATCTGGATGAAAACCTCAATAAGGTCTCATCAACTTCACTTGTATCAGTGAGTTGAATCAACGATGGTAACATACAGACTAGCTCATTTACATATTCCCTGGCACCTGCCTTCTCAGCTTCAGCATTCAATGTAGCAATCCTCTCTAGCTCCTCTCGTCGCTCACTTCTCTGTTTCTCCATCTCAACTTCAGCTGAAATTTGTTTTTTTGGTGTTGAAACCTCTTCACTCTGTCGCCTTGAAACTGGTGTATCATAACTACCAGTTTCATCTTCTGAAGATTTTTCAAGAATTTCTACATGACCTAGAATTTGATGTTCTTCAAAATTATGTATAACCTCTTCTTCAATTGGTTTTATATCACAAAGCTCTTTGCCAGTTACATCAGTAATATAAGTTTCATGCGGGGTGTTATTTTGAAGTATTTTTGTGATGTCAGCTGCCATGTCATCTTTTGGCAATGATATTCTATCTTTGACATCTTCTGATTCTTCAAGACTGTTCTCTCCATGCTTTACATCGGCAACAACAACCTCTATTGTCGTGTCTTCTTCTTCTTCGTAAATTTCCTTCAGCTTAGTGTCTAGCTCACCATTGACAGTGTCATCTCCATCAGCTACCTTGTCTAATGTGGATATTTCTAAAAAAAAGAAAGATATAGTTGTCATATTTCCTCAAACAATAAAAAACTGAAGTCGGTGTTCTCTCTATAATCATTCAAACAAAAGATTGTCAACAGAGGAGAAAAACAAAATTTGTACCAGTGATATACATATGACAAATAAAATGACACTAGTGTTACAGCAAGTCTCAAATATATTGAGGCAGTAAGTTAGCAAACTTGCTCACTAATTTGTTGACATATGACGAAATAATACAGATTCCTTAAGAAAAGTTATTCTGGATGATGAAATGTAATAGGAGACAACCACATGCTTGAACAAAACAAAAGTCTCAAATATATTGAGACAGTAAGTTAGCAAACTTGCTCACTAATTTGTTGACATATGATGAAATAATACCGATTTCTTAAGAAAAAGTTATTCTGGATGATGAAATGTAATAGAAGACAACCACATGCTTGAACAAAACCAGAAGTACATGGGAAGCAGACAGATAGTTTACCTGTTTGTTCTTCGTTTATTTTTTTATCTTCCATATCCAATAACTCAAATTGTTTATTGATTTCAATGATATGTTGTTGACGGAGTGCCTTTCCCTGACTGATACCCTCTAGTGATGTCAGTAATGCCACAATACATGACACACTGGTATGACAAACTGTACTCTCATTGCTATGGGAAGACTCTACAATACCATCCATTAAACTGAAAAAAACAAATCATTGTTGTAAGTAATGTCTAAGAAATAATAATACAGTTTTATTACAAATTCATTTTTGGCTGAAAGTAATAAAAGGTAAGGTAAAAAGGTAAGTAAAAAATACAACGTTAAAATAACATAAGATTAGGTAGTAAAAAATTAATGCAGTTTGTGTTTTTCAAAACACACTTTCAGATACCGTGTCACATGTCTAATTAGTTTAGGACGGTTAGTATTAATAATGATAATAAACTTGTTGATATTGTTTTCAGACTGGAAAGTGGGGATTTCCTTGGTAAATTCAGTGTACATAATATCCTCTTCATCAGTGTAGTAGCTACAGTCTGTAATAAATTGAACTTTGTCTTCAATACTGTCACTCCTACACTTATCACAAATCCTGTTCTCTTA